ATATAGGCACTCCCCGTCGCGGCGCACAGCCCGCCGCCATGCACGCACCTCTCTCTTTCATTGTGCACAACGTCGCGTCCCTTGTACAGAGCGGCAGAGCAGTGGAAATCTCTGAAGCATATCAGACTAAAAATATTGTTTTTCTCACGGGCACCAGGCTACAACGGCGTCACACAGATGGGCAGTGCACGAGCATCTTCGACCCGCATGCGCACATTCTGAATTGGGGATATGGAAGGGGGCCTATGGTGTCGTCCCACACGGGGGTGCAGATTCGACTTCGACGGCGGCTCTTTCGTCTCTGCCATATTGCACAGATTCACTCACCGCCCGCAGGCCTACAAGGACGACTGGGAGCGGTGGAAGTACGATCAGGCCGCTTTGATCTACTGTTGCTGGTTGTCGATTTCCCAGTTCGACCGAATGTGGCAAAAGAAATGCTCACGTATAAGAAGACGGTGATGCAGATGCTTGTATGGATGGACCAAGTTTGTCGGCTTCAACCTAATAGGTGTTCGATTGTCTTTGGTGGAGATATTAATGACTATGCGGGAGTACCTGCACGCAATGTTGTGCCTGACGAACACAATCCTATTGGACCGTTCCGACCCCAACAGGAGCATCATTGTATGACGCAGCTGCGAGATTTTATGGAGAAGTATAACTTGTGTCTTGTTAACACCTGCATGGGCGGCCAGGACACCTATCACGGGCGAGCTTCGAGTTCTGGCATTGATTACCCTGGCGCTCCGCGAGCATAGTTGACAATCTTAGTGGAGTCGAGTATTTTGAACAAGCGAGGGCGACAACTTCAAATGGCTCCAGTTCAACGCAACTGGGATCATTACCCACTGCAAGTGCGCGCTAGATGTATTTCTCGGGGTGGACGTACCCCCCGTAGTCAGTGGAACCTGGATGCCCTTGTTCGAGGTGTAGTTGATGGGCTTTGGCGTGAGCAATTTCTTAAAGAAGTGGAGGATCACTGCTGCCAGTCTTTCTTACGATGGAAACAGTACGACACATTGGCTACACCCGACGAGGCTTGGCAGCATTTGGTGAGCGAAGTTCAACAGATTGCTATTGGTTATTTTTAAAGATATTCAGAGGAGGATCATCGGCTGGCTCGGCAACAACAACGGGACCTGGTGAGACGACGGGCTATCTTGCGAGAAAATATGGGATCTCATGGTTTCGAGGCGCAGATGGAGGAGATTACATGTTTGCAGCAGCAATTGGGTAGATTAACTAAGGACCTTCGCAAAGCCAAGGAGCAGTTTCAGCAGGAACAGATTGACAGCTTGGGGGAACAGATACGAAGTGCGTGGCATCAGAATGATCACAGTTTTGTACACCGATTGGCGAGGCGCTCGGCTACTACCACCGTGGGACCTGGGCGCCGTTTTTACAACACTCCGGCGCTTGCGAATCCCACGGTCGAGATGTGGACTCTGCATTTGGCACAGCCTGGATGGGAGGCCAGAAAGCCCAGCAGGTTCCAGACATAGACGCGCTCGCAGTACAGCGTCATGATCTGCATGATGGACAGCAACTCTGGAACCCCACGTTCAAGGATGAGGCTGATTGCGATATTCGAGGCATTCGTGCAACGATAAAAAGGCTTTCGTATCGGAAAAGTGTTCCGCCCTGGTCTCTGCCTGCTGAAGTTTTTCGCATGTTGCTAAATCCAACCACGAGGGACCCGAAGTATAAGGACCAGCAGGAGGAGTTTGAGGCGCGCATCCCTGTTATGAATTGGTTTTCTCGCAGGCTACGTGGAATCTTGTGGAGTATACGGGGCATGGCTCAGGTTCCTCTTGCGCGGCATCGCTCTTGGGGGGCGTGTATCCCCAAACCTACGTCGAAGACAAGATTTAAAGCTGTTCGACTTATTCATCGCATCTGTCCTTTCAGCAAGGCCATGATGCAACGCGTCAACCGACGTGGCAGGGCAGCTTATCCTGAAAAGAAGTTCTTGGATTGCATGCACGGGGGCATTTCTCATAGGAGGCGCGAGGCAGCCATTCGAGTTCAACTTATCGCAAGCTGGAGGTTGATGCAGTTGGGCGTATCACATGCTACAGTATTTTATGATCAAGCTAATGCATTTGGCAGCATTTCGCAGCAGGCTGTGGATGATGTGGATTATCAGCACTATGACATTGATGATGTATGGCAGGGCGCACAGAATAGTCACGCGAGCTACATCACGATCGACGCAGCTGATGGCGCTGGCAATTATATCATTGGAGAAGGCGTGCTGCAGGGACATCAGTCAGCTCCTGATAAGGACAATCGAGTATTTCAGCACAGTGTTCTTGAGCCCTGGTTAGACATGCGCAGTACGACACCACAGGGAGCTATGATGATGCGTGCCTCACCCTTTTGCGAGCAAGATGTGGATCTCTCGACGACGGTGTTCATGGACGATATGGCATATAAAGTCTTGGGCCCGCAGGGCCGTGAAGTTGCATCGCGAATTGAGGAAGCTAGCAAGCAGTTGGATGAGAAGCTGTGGACGGTCGGCGGTGTCCAGAATCATGACAAGAGACAGATTGTTCCGAAGTTCGTGGGCAACGGGGCTATCAAGAACACGCGAGCACTTTCTGAGATGGTTGAGTTACCTGGTATGGCGCAACCGGTTGCCACGTATCTTGGAGTTCAGTTTTCACATTCGCGTCAGAGTGCTTATCAGCGAGTGGTGTGTGAAAAAGTATGAGAAGAGGCTGGTGGAGTATGGGGGGATGTCGGTTTGCTCGCAGTGTGTCGCCACAGCTCAAGAGGCTGGTCTTTCAATGTCGTGTCCAAGCTAGTGCTCTCAGCGGTCTTGAAGCGTATGTGTTGATTGCCAGTGATTACAGAATGTTGGATTCTAGTCTCTTGGGCCGGGGCAAGAAACTACTAGGAGGAAGGGCCGTACTTCAAGTTCACCAGCCTGATGGGAGCATCAAGCATCGAGCCCTACCCTGCTCGATTGGAGCTTCGCATTCGGAGACTTAGGTGGATTCAGTCTCTGGCGGTGCATCGTGAAGCTAATATGCAGGTTCTGGCTGTTATGTTTGGAAAGTTCCCAGGATAATCCCAGGCCACCATGGTTGAATACAAGCTCGCTAGAGATGAAAATGGGGAGTATAAGGGGAACCCGTGGGCCCTCCAGGCCCATAATGATCTGCTCGCGATGGCATGTGTTGAAAATGGGCCCGCCCTTCTCGCCAAGCTAGGAGATGCCCCCTTCAAGTTTTTAATGATCAGTTTCGGGCTGAGTTTGGCAAGTTGAACTCTCGTTCCCTTCGGAAAGCGCATTGGGAGGATAAGGTGGGAGATCTATATGACTATGTCCAACCAGAACCTGGAGAGGGAGGAGTTGCACATGGAGGGGGAGGAGAAATTGGAGAACAAGGAGGTGGAAGAGGAGGAGGTGATCCAGCAGCACCCAAGGGACCCCCTGAAGGCCCACCAGCACCAGTATGGGCATGTGAGGAGCTCCATGAAGATGGGTCTCGATGTGGGCTTGAATTCTTTACGCTTCGCGTATCCCCACCAGCCCATCTCACAGCAGCAACTCTTGCGAAGCATGCCGAGAGTCGTGTTTTTCAGGCGTCTGTCCGCTTGGCCCCGCAGATATCCCCTGTTCCCCCTTCCCCCCGCCTCCTTGCACATCCTCCTTGTGGGGGGGCGGGAGAAGGGCGAGGCGGAGGAGGAGGGAGAGAAAACGCTCCTCGTGATGTGAGTCGTTTGGGGTTTCTCGTCCTGGTGTGAGTCGTTCGGGCCCTTCTTCCTGGTGTGAGCCGTTCGGGCTCTTCGTGGTGTGAGTCGTTCGGGCTCTTCGTCCTGGTGTGAATCGTTCGGGCTTCTCGTGGTGTGAGTTGTTCGGGCCCCTCATCCTGGTGTGAGTCGTTCGGGCCCCTCCTCCTGGTGTGACTCGTTCGGGCTCCTCGTGGTGTGAGTCGTTCGGGGCCCGCGTCGTGGTGTGAGTCGTTCGGGCTCCTCGTGGTGTGAGTCGTTCGGGCGCCTCGTCCTGGTGTGAGTCGTTCGGGCCCCTCCTTGTGGTGTGAGTCGTTCGGGCTCTTCGTGGTGTGAGTCGTTCGGGCCCCTCGTCCTGGTGTGAGTCGTTCGGGCTCCTCGTGGGGCCTCTTGGGGGCCTCTTGGAGCCTCTTGGGGCCTCTTGGGGGCCTCTTGGGGGCCTCTTGGGGGCCTCTTGGGGGCCTCTTGGAGCCTCTTGGGGCCTCTTGGGGGCCTCTTGGGGGCCTCTTGGGGGCCTCTTGGGGGACTCGTGGGGCCTCTGGGGGCCTCTTGGGGGCCTCTTGGGTGCCTCTTGGGGGCCTCTTGGGGCCTCTTGGGGGCCTCCTCAGAAGCGCAAATGAGCGCTGCCTCCTGGGAAGGACAAAATGAGCCCAAAACCGTTGTAACATCAATGGTTTTGCTATGAAGGAAGATGAGCGCGGCCCCCTCAGGAGGCCAAAATGGGGCCAAAACCGTAGTAAAATCAATGGTTTAGGCTTCAAAGAAGAGGAGAGGGACTTATCTCCGCCCCCCCGTCGGGGCCAGAATCCTCGTGAGGGGTGTCGTTGTTTTGCCCTCCCAGGAGTCGAAACTCCCCCCCCTGACGACCCGCGGGGCGCCCTCTCCAGGCCCAGGGGGAGGGGGGAGGGGGAGGGGTAAACCCCTCCCCGAAGGGGAAGAAGGGGGGTTGAGAACAGAGCGGGCTCTCTAAACCACTCACGCCCAAAGGGCTGGTGGGATTTCAGGATCGCATGGCGCGTTACGCGCACATGGGGTTCACTCAGGGGGGCACGCACGGGCACCGCGCGTTGAGCAATGCACTGACGGTCACCAATCAATGTCCATGGTGTATGAGTGTATTATCGAACAGACCCATTGCTCGTCAGCACGTTCGTCGTCTATGTCTTAATCATCGTTGTCAAGCAGATAGAGGTCATTATAAATATGAAATCATTGAACCAGAGTATCTGCACTGCCCCGCTTGCGGTCAAGATCGCCACAGCTTAGAGGCTCTGCAGGTTCACATCAGATCGGCAATTCGACCCCTCAGCCCACTTTCCCTTTGAGGCTCCGAGCGATGTCAGCGTGGGTGACGCCGTTATCGCAGGGACAGCTGCTGGAAGCGAAGAAACGACTAGCGAACTCTCCAGAAGCCTTCTCCGCTGGTGGCTACGGAAAGGATCGGGTACAGCGCCGGCGGGGGGGCCAACAGCAGAAGGGAGCATCGGCGTCGTCGCACGGCCCAGCGGCACCTGGGATGAAAGGAGAAGCTGCAAACACGCCCGTGGACATGGAGGAGGACTACGACACGGAGGACGAGACGGCGATCACCACCTTGAAGCAGGTGATGAACGTCACGCAACGCACGAGGGCGCTAGCGGGGTGTCTGATCAGCACACATCTGCTGGACAAGGAGTGCATCCTCAACGCGCACGCGATCGGCGCGGCCCAGCAATATATGGCAATGGTGGAAGAGAACCCGAGTGTAGTGCTGGGCCCCCCGTCACTTATGGTGGCCATGGCGGTGATGACGGTCCTAGTCCAGCAGACAGTAGTGAAAGAAGCACCAGATATTCAAGCAGAAATTGCAGGCCTCAAGTCTTTGGTCGAACGGCTCCGCACAGAGAAGATAGAAGTGGCGGCGGAGTACATCAAGCATTGGCGAGCGAAGACCACGTTCGCCAAGGAGGGGGAGGAGGCCAAAGTTCGTCATTCGTTCTACATACATGCGTTCGTGCCCATCGGGGATCCGCCCAACATGTCGATTGTCCCAGCCAACCTCCTGATCACCAAGTGCCTCATGAAGATGGGGTCCGAGCCGAAGCCAGGCCCGCCGCCGCGAGGGGGTCCCGGGAGGAAGCTCCAGAATTCCCTGACCAGGATGCTGAAGGGGGGCAAACACAAGAAGTGGTAGGCTCGAGGCCCCGTAGTGTTCTGAGGTCAGCTGGTAGCAGTAGTAGCCACCCGCTAGGCCCTGTGAGTGCTCTAGTGAATGGAGGACCTAGGCAGTGTGTCTCTGAACGGGGTAGAGTTCAGTTTTCGGGCGCCTGGGCTCCTCCTGCAAGTCAACCAAAGCGTAGGCCTCGCAAGGGCAAAGGGAAACGTAGTGATAGAGGCCAGACTTAAGGGCTGGGACCTATCTTTGATCTATGTGACGTTTCTCCGCCTGCCTCCGCCTTCCTGTTCCCTCTCGCCTCTCCTCCTGTGGTGTTGTGTCTCCTCTTTCCTTCTCTCTCGCTCCGTGTGTGCTGTGTGTGTGCGTGTGTGTGCGAGCTGAGACGTTTTAACTTCTCACTCTCGGGATCCAGTGCCACCGCGCACTATCTGGGATGATTTCGTTAGGCTTTTCGACCCTGACGGTTTCTAAGGTGTTCCCCGATTAGAAATCTAGTCGTGACGGGAGTGCCGACTCTCAAGTTTCGCGAGGGGGTCTGCCCTCACTATGCGCACAGCGGTCACGAGCAATGAGAGATTCATTGCTGACTCGACCAGATGCTGAGTACCACCACCACCTCCTCGTCCTCCTTCTCCTCGTCCTCCTCCTCCTCCTCCTCCTCCTCCTCCTCCTCCTCCTCCTCCTCCTCCTCCTCCTCGTTCTCCTCCTCTCCCTCCTCGTCCTCCTCCTCGCCCTCCTCGTCCTCCTCGCCCTCCTCGTCCTCATGACCCTGGGTGGGGGTTACCACCTTCTGGCGAAATCTGCACGGCGCCCCGGCGAGAGCGACGCCTTTGCCCGCGCGAAGGGGCCGCCCCTTCGCCCCCACGACTTCGCGGGCGCACGATGCGCGCCGCGCCCAAGAGGGAGCGCGGCGCTGAGGCGCGAGGCTCAGGAGGACAGCCATCGGGTTGGGAGGATGGGGCTGTTGGCGGCGCGCAGGAGGGGGTGGAGGGTGGGGGGAGGGCTTCTTAGACGGAGGTTGCTTCTTAGAAGGAGGCTGGCCTTACATCTGTAGACACGACCCGCGCCTTCTAAGCAGCAAGGGTGCTTCTGAGAAACCCTCCCCTCTCCCCCCATCCCCCCCTGCGCGTGGCTGGGGCTGGGAGAATGAGGATTTCACTACCCCCAGGCGACCGAAGGTACCGTTCACTGCATCCGGGTACTATTGCTCATGCCCGTCATCCTCCCGACCCCTGCCTCCCAACACGGTCACTGTCGTCCTCAGTTGCGAGAAGGACGTGTGGACACTCTTCTAAGAGGAAGATGAAGAGAAACAATAAACAACAATTGAACGCCATAGACAGAAATTGTTGGCGCTCCACGCGGATTTCTTGGATCCGCGCCAGGCCCCTCTGGCGGTGCCTCCGGCGCCGCCCCTGGCGCGCTCCGCGCGCCAGGGAGGGGTGTCCACCGCAGATCCAAGAAATCCGCGCAGAGCGCCCAAAGCCTATGTTCATGGTTTCTTTCTTCTTCTGAATATTGCCACGCTTTTGATCAGGTCGACGACAAACATACATTTAGATCGGAATGACGCCGACTGTGAGCTTCTTTTTTCATGGTGGCATGGGCACCCCTTTTTTCTACTATTTTTGACTATTTGGGAAACTGTTTGGAGTATTGGGGATTTTTCGTCCAAAACCCGCCTGTAGGGAGAAATGCCCGACCTAAGAATAAGGATCGACATCGAGCTGGTCAGCTTGGACGAGCAAGCGGGCCCCGCCTACTCCCATCTTCTCTCGCACAGCATAAGAGAAGTGTTCGTACAATTGGAAGTGGCCTGTGCTCCCCCTCCCTCCGCCGAGCGAAGTTTTGGCGCTAGCGCGCAAGGCCTCTCTCCCGACGACTTGGCGAAGGAGCAAGCACGAGACATGCCCCAAGTGGAAACATATTGTCCTGGGTCGCCTGGGCTTTCGGGCGTTTGGCGCGCTGCCCCGTTTCCGAGAACTTGGCGAGGGAGAGCATGCGGCTCGCCCAAGTGGGGAACGGAAACGCAATGTGTTGAAGAGTCTGGGATTTAAAACGACACTATCGTTACGCTGTGCCGAGCGCGGCCCAGCTTCCAGCAGAACTGGCGATCGAAAAGCATGCGCCGCGCCTGGCGCGGAGCGCAACCGTCAGGAACACAGTACGCAGTGTTTCTTAATAGGCGTGGGGGGGTACCCCCCCGACGAGGGTCAAGCTCGCCTCGTCGTCGCGCCGCGATGGGGGTCGGAGCGCCCTCGGCGCGCGGTGGCTGCCCGCGACGGGGGTCGATGTGGTGCTGTCGGCGGGGGTGACACGCCCCCGACGCTTATTAAGAAACTCGGAGTACGCAGCGTTGCAGGCGAGAGCAACGTTTCGCTATCTCGCGTGCGGCCAGTTTCCGACGCTCGAAGAGCACGCACGGCTCATTTGGGCAACGATTACGCAGGGAAGCGGGGACACGTGGCCAGGGCGAGCTTCTTTCCGCCCCGCACCAGCCCTGGCAGGTTTTCTTTCCGCTTGTTTTCCTGGCCTCCCGGATGGGGTCCGAGCAGATGGGGTCGGTGGATTGCACCGCATCGTCGATGCATCGCCGATGCGGCTCGATGCGGAGCCCGTGCTCCCCCACGCCGACGTCGCCGATGCATCGCCGACGTCGCCGATGCATCGGCGATGCATATGTGATGCATCGCCGATGCGGCGCGATCCTCCGACCCCATCTACTCGGACCCCATCTGGGAGGCCTCTATGTTTGGCTCAGGCGACATCGTCCCAACTGTCTCGGGCTCGTCCTCCTCCTCCTCCTCCTCCTCCTTCCTCCTCCTCCTCCTCCTCCTCCTCCTCCTCCTCTTCCTCCTCCTCCTCCTTGCCGGCCCTGGCCACGTCCGCTTCCGTGGAGTTTCCAGCCCCCGCTGCCTCCAGCCTGCTCGTGTGCTCGCCTCGGGCTCTCGCGCGCGGCTCCGCTTCCCGGTGGCCTGGCGAGCGGGAAGGAAGCATGCCGCGCGCCCCAGCGGCAGCGTGCCCTTCAGGAGCGGTCCGCGCGTTGCCGGTGCGAGAGCGGCACGTTGACGCGGCATGCTCACGATTCGCGCGCGATCTGCTCTTCTTCCCGCTCCTGCCGCGGATCCTGCAACGTCGACGGCCGACCATCGAAATTGAAAGGAAGAAGTTCGACCTTGTCTTCTTGTTCGATGGGCGGGGGGGGGCTCATTTAAGGTACGGCGGGGGCGTTGGTTAAGGAACGTGCCCAGGGGGCTGCAGACCCTGGAGGGTTCCTTATCTGGCGAGTGCGGCGGTATAGCATTCACCGCCAATCCGCGATGGGAGTTCCACTGGCTTCCAGACCCTGGATTCCTTGTCCAATGCTTCCTTATCCAATGCCCCCACCGTAACCACGAGGACGGAACCGCGGGAAGCGAGAGCCTACAAGGGCTATGGATAAGAAGCGCAGGGGCACGAGTCGCGGTAGCCGGCTCGGGCGAGTCTATCTAGTGGCTTTCGGCCCCAGGCCCGCCTGGGTTGCGGACCAGAGGCCTCCTCGATACCTCGTGGGGTCTCTTGGGAGGCCTGCTGTGGTCTCCTGGGGGCTTCGTGGGGGCCTCTTGGGGTCTCGTGGAGGCCTCTTCGGAGCATCCTGGCGATCTCCGAGGCCATCTTACGGTGCAGGGCTCCAAACGTCAGTTCGTGTTCCCCCTTTTAGGCCCCTACTCGGCCGTCTTGGAGGCATTTTGGGCCTCGCTGGGGGCTTGGAATGGGCTCCCTTAAGACCGAAAGGGCGATGTCAACATCACAGGGCAGTGTTCCAAGCGTCTGGAAGAGTTGTGCATTTTGGGCCGCCCCCCCCTGGGCCTCCAAGACTGCCCAAGAGGGTTCCATGATGGGCCCTGGCACATCTCAGGCCGCGCTGGAAGTGCGGAATCGCAACCACGCCCCCGAGGCCTCCGAAAAAGTCATGCGAGCCGCCCCAGTGGCGCCCAAAAGCTCCAGAGCGCTGGGAACTCTGGACATGACCTAGTTCTACACGCGTCGAGCATTTATGCAGAGAGGGAGGGGTAGAGTTATACAAACAACACCCAACAGAGGGAGGGCGGAATGGAGGGAGGGAGGGAAAGGGAAACAGGCAGATTGAGGGATGACGTGAGGGAGGGAAACAGAGACCGTGAGAGAGAGAGAGAGAGAGAAAGAGAAACAACACACACGTATAGGTGTGTGTGTTGGTGTACACATGCACATATGGAAGAGAGGGATCAAAGGAGCGGAACTTCGAGATCCAAGGCCACCCGAGACACCCGACCGACCCGCCCAGAGGGGACCCGAAGAGCTCTCTCCCACCGTTTCGCACAGATGCCCAGGACATGTCCTGGGCCCCCTCGGCGTCTCCGCTCAAGCATCTGATGCTACGCTTCCCGCTTCCGTACATTGTGTCCTCCTCCCTCCTCCTCCTTCCTCCCTCTTCCTCCCTCCTCCTCCTCCTCCCTCCTCCTCCTCCTTCTTCCTCCTCCTCCTCGTGCATGCAGAGGCTCGCTGGGGACAGTTTCGCGAATTGTTTACGGTTTCTGGCTGGCGCGCATGTCCACCAATTGTGCGACGCGCACTGCAGCATTCCTTTGTTCGTGCAGCCTTTGAGCTAGCAGCGCGTCCGAAGGCTGCTCATGACAGCCTGGTGAAGTGTTTACGAGACCTCTTTTATCGAGACTCCGCGCAGGATCGGGAAAAACAACTCGAAGGGGGGGGCGGGGGGGGCAAGTCAGACGATGAGGAGGAGGGAAGGATCAGTACTTGGGCGGATTGTTCTTCGGGATGAGAAGGAGGCGGTGAAGAAGGAGGGGGACGAGGAGGAGGAGGAGGTCGAGGAGAAGGTGGATGAGAAAAGGACAAGAGGAGTGAATAGCAGATGGGGGAAGGCAGGAGAGGATAGGAGGAGAAAAGAGAAGAGGAGGTGAGGAGATGAGCGAGAGAAGGCTTAGAGGCCAGGGACGAAGATGAGTAGCAGTGGATGAGGGGGAGTATTAAAAGGAAGGGAAGGAGGACGTTGGCCAAGTGGCAGGCTCGAACGTGATGCGTCGAGCTGCGATGGCCACAGGTTGGCCAAGGAGCCTCCCGAATGCTCCCTGACAAGAACACTCATGAGGATGCAACCAGCGAGCTCGTCCTGCGGGGGGAGGGTGGCTGCGTCTGGTACATACACTTGGACCTTGGCATGTTGCTTGCGCCGAGGGCACGAGAGCCGCCTGAGAGGCTGATCGTGAAGCGTTTGCCAGAGTCTCCTGGCAGCGAGAGCGCGCGCCCCCGGAAGCCCTACTGTGACCGCTCTATTGGTAGGTCGCTTACCTTTTGCTTCGACTCCGGTGGGCGGCAGGTAGTCTGGTGCACCGATCGGAGCCGCTCCATAGAGGAAAGCCGAGGTGTCTCCTTTGCGTTAAAAGTGCAGGACGTTGACGCCTGAAGGGCCCTGGTTATAGATTGTGGTCCTGAGATGTGATGCGACGCGCGCAATGCCCCGTGGGTCTCCCAAGACGAATCTGGGAATCAATGACCTCGGCGCTCGAGCGGCGAGAGGGCCACGCGTTGCGTGAGGGATAGTGTTCGCCGTATTTGCAGGGAGTGTATTTGGCAACGAATGGAGGCCATGGCACTCGGGAGGAGAGGACCATGAGGTCTGGAGAAAAGAGGACCGCGTGTTTTGCGTTTCTTGTTGAGGGCCCCTCTTGCTGCCACCCTTCATATCTGGCTAGCGCTGTTCCCCTGCATGTGTTATTCAAGAGGCTTACGTCATTCTGCCGATCCCTAGAAGAGACGGACAGGTTCGCATGATCGCGGAAGCCATTCGGACCATGGGGCCTGACTACGTTGGCTCGTGTCGGCGTTTCGGGAGCCTCTTATAATGGCCTCTTGGGGCATCTCGGGGTTGTCTTGGGCGCCAGCTGGCAATCTCGAGGGTCCTCTCGGGGCGAAGCCTCGAGCTGTCAGTTCGAGCTGCCTCTCCTGGGCTCCTCTTGGGGCTCTGTTGGGGCCCTTGGGGGCTGTCTTGAGCGTCTCTTGGGCCGTCTAGGGGCCCTCTTAGACCGTCCCAGGGCCCTCCTGGGGGCTTCTTGGGCTGGTTTGGGACGATGTTGGGACCCCCTGGAGCCGTTCGGGACGCTGCTAAGGCAAAAATGGCCAAAATGCTAACAGTGTAGGTCTTCCTGAGGGCTTGGAGCTGTGTTTTTTCCCTTGGGGTTATCTTGGAATCCTCTTGGAGCCATATTGGGGCGTTTTGGGGCCTTCTTGGGCTGCCTTGAGACCATCTCAGTTGTGTGTTCTGATGGTTCCTCAGCGTGTGGGAGCCCAGCTTGAGCTAGCTTAGATTGCATCTCGTGCATGCTGGAGACAACGGCGAACGCAGTCTTGGATCCTCCCGAGGCCCTTCGGGGTGCGTTGGCGAGCTCTGGCCCCACTCCCCCTTAAGATTCAATTTGGGGCCTGGAGAAGGAGAGGGATCGGGAGGACGCCAACTACACACCACCACCAGCCATGGCCAAGCACTTCCTGAACTCTAAATCAGTGTACAAACTCCCTGGCCTCAGCCAAAAAGGCTTGTACACCAGTCCAGGGCCCACGATAGGCCTTTGCGAGGAACCAACGTCTCACTCGATCGATCTCACAAACGATCTCACTCGATCTATTCCATTCGATCGATCTCACAATCGATTTCTCTATCGATCTCACAAACGACCGCACGATCGATCTCACTATCGATCTCACAACAGATCTCATATTTGGTCTCACTATCGATCTCACTATCGATATCACAATCGACATCACAATTAACGTCACCATCATCATCATCATCATCATCATCATCATCATCATTGTCATCAACGTCATCAACATCATCATCATCGGGACACCATCGTCATCATCATCGCCACCTCATCACCATCATCATCAACAGCACCACCATCACCATCATCATCATCATCAGCATCATCATCATCATTGGGACAACACCATCGTCACCATCATCATCATCAACAACATCATCATCATCGGGACACCATCACCATCATCGGAACACAACCATCATCAGGATCACTTCATCATCTTCATCATGAACAACATCATCAACACCATCATCATCGGGACACCATCATCATCATCAGCAACATCATCATCATCAACATCATCATCATCATCGGGACACCATCGTCATCATCGTCACCATCATCATCACCATTAACAGCATCATCATCATCACCGGGACACCAGCATCATCATCAGCAACACCAGCATCATCATCATCGGGTCACCATCATCAAAATCATCATCATCACCTCATCATCATCTCTATTAAGAACATCAGCAGCATCATCACCATCAGCGGGACACCATCATCGTCATCATCATGAACAACATCATCATCACCGGGACACCATCATCATCATCACCATCATCATTAACAGCATCATCAACCTCATCATCATCATCATCGGAACACTATCATCATCTTCGTCATCATCATCTCATCATATCATCATCATCAACATCATGATCATCAACATCAGCATCATTTGGACACCATCATCATCAGCAACATCATCATCAACATCAGCATCATCATCATCACTACCATCACCATCATCATCACCACCATCATCATCATCAACATCGTCAACATCATCATCATCATCATCATCGGAACACCATCATCACCACCATCACCATCCTCATCATCGTCATCCTCATCATCAACATCATCGACATCATCATCATCATCATCATCATCATCATCATCATCATCATCATCGTCATCATCGGCACACCGACGGGACACCGGCGGGACACCGGCGGGACACCGCGGGCCACCGGACGCCGGTCCGGAATCATTTGGTCCGGCCGCGCCTCAGCTGGAGGCGGGTCACCAGCGGGACCCCGCGGGCCACCAGACGCCGGTCCAGAATCATTTGGTCCGGCCGCGCCTCAGCCGGAGGCGGGTCACCGGCGGGACACCGCGGGCCACCGGACGCCGGTCCGGAATCATTTGGTCCGGCCGCGCCTCAGCTACCGGAGACTTTCTTCTCGCCCGCCCACGCAGCTTCGCCTCGCCCGCACGCGCGGAACGCACGAACACGAAACCGAAATCGATTTCCCGGTAGGGGGGCTCTCCGTTCCACTTCGATCTCACCCCCTTACCTCCGATATCATACCCCCCCTTCCGCCCTGAGAGCTGTCTGGCCAAGACAGAGTTGGTCGGGGGAGAGGGGCGGCGAGGTCGCATCATCGCGGGAGAAAGTTACGAATCGATTTGCTATCTCCTTGTGTTGAGTAGCAACATCATCACGAGCGTGTGGCAGGCTTCCGTTTCAGACGAGAAAGGCCGCGGGCGACCCCTAGGCCGCGCTCACCAGAGAAAAACAGATTCGTCGTCGTCGTCGATCGTGCGACGACGACGGCGACGACGACGACCTCCTTTTTCTTTTCCTCGCCATATATCCCACGTGCGAGTTGCCAGGACAAATCGTTTATCTTCCGTCCTGGACCGAGCTTCGCATCTCCCGCGTGTTATCATCAAGGGGGTGTGGCTATTGTTTGGAGGGCTCCCAAAGGGGTGATGGGGGACAGCCAAATGTCTCACGCGCCGTCCCACCCGGGGCAAGCGGGGGTCGGTGGATCATTATTATTTGCGCCCGCGCTCCCTGCTCTCGGAGGGTCCGCTGCGGTTCTCTGAGCAGTGCTCGTGTGCAGGGGCGCCCATCTGCGGAGCAAGGAACTGGGTGGGGGGGTCGGCCTGGCGGCTATGTCGTCGCCGTCGACCCATCGCCGTCTGGCAGGAGGAGGAGGAGGAGGAGGAGGAGGAGGAGGAGGAGGAGGAGGGGTCGGCTTGGCGGCTATGTTGTTGCCGTTGCCGCCCCATCGCCGCCCGTCGTCTGGGCCCGGGGGTCGGCCTGGCGGCCACGTTTCCGCCGTCGCCGCCCGGGCTTGCGAGTCGGTTTGGCGGCCATGTTGTCGCCGTCGTCGCCCCGTCCCGTCGCCGCCGCCCGGTTGCACAGCACAGATTGGCCAGCGCGGACCCCGATAGATTGGGCAATTTATGTGGAGCAGCATATGGTGCGCAATCTGTGTGGTGCATTTTTTTGAGGTGCGCAGCATAGGTCGAGCAGCCTATGTGGTGCAGTTCGCTTTGACCGTCTTGAAGCTGTCCTCTCCACTGCGCGTGCAAACATCCCACCCTCCCACCCGCAACTTGGTCGCAAGGCCTCTTCAGACAAGACCATGACGGTGGGTACCACATGGCACTTGGCCACGACACCGACGCCGACAGCGACAACGACGACGACGGCGCCGCCGACACCGACTACGACGACACCGACGACGTCTCCAACGGCTTCGACGACGACATCGACGACGACGACGACACCGACGACGACGACGACGACGCCGACGACGACGACGACGAGGCAGGAGGGAGGACGACGACGGCGACAACGACGACAACGACGACAACGACGAGGGAGGAGGGAGGACGGCGACGACGCGAACGACGAAGAAGGAGGAAGGACGGCGACGCCGACGACGACAACGACGAGGGAGGAGGGAAGACGACGACGACCACGACGACAACGAGGACCACGACGACGGCGACGAAATAGGAGGGACGACGACGAGACGCCGACGACGGACGACGACGACGACGACGAGGACTAGGGAGGAGGAGGAAGGACGACCACGGCGACAACGACGACGGAAACGACCACGACGCCAAAGAGGACGACGACGACGAACACGAGGAAAGACAGAGGACGACGTAGGCGACGACGACGGCGACGACGACGCGGGAGGAGGGAGTACGGCGACGACGACGAAGATGACGACGACGACGCAAGAGCGCGCTCGCACGCTTTTGTTGAAAATCCGTGTTGCGAAAACTTGTGTTTTTGTAAGTTTTTTGGACACACGATTTTGAAATCCTTCCGAAACCGATGGGTTTTGAAGGATTTCGGCATACGCGCTCGATGTCGCGCGCGTCTGCACTTCGTCCCATTTTTTGCAGAGGATTCTCGCGACGGCACACGCGCAAGGGCGTTCGACAGATTTCGACATGCGCGCGCGAAGCCCGTTTGATAGCATGTTGTGAAAAGATTGGAAAACCAATGGTTTTCTTAAGATTTCGCAAGAGCTCGCGCGTACGCTTTTTTAGGAAATCAGTGGTGCGAAACCCTGTGGTTTTGTATGTTGTTTGGGAACTCGATTGCGACATCCTTCCGACACCAGGAGTTTTTGAAGGATTCCGGCGTGCGCGCGCGACGAAAACGCGCGTGCGCACTTCGTCCCATTTGTTGCAAGGGATTCGCGAACAAGTGCTATGTTAGAACAAAAAATGTCACCGCATCGTTTTTTTACAAGGGAACCTCAGGGGGGGCGATACCGGCTGGCCTGTGACATTGCGATTTCATATTTAGGATGGAGAGGGGGGGTAGATCCTATTCTGTTTTTAGAAAGGAGAATCTGCGCGGTGGATTTCGCCAAGCCGAACTTGAAGTTGTCAACTCCATTGCTCGCGCAATCATTCAACCCACCCACCCGAAACTCGATTTGCACAACCCATGCGGCGGCGATTGCCATGAGTGCTGGGCGCTGACGGCGCATCGTTGCGGCCGCGCTACCGCGCTCATGCTCGCGCGCAAAGCGGCCTCCTAGTCAGGCGGAACGGACGCGGCCGCGGTGGCGCTGACCGCTGGGGACTCCCCAGCACGCTTCGATGGCCGCGCTGACGCGCGGGCCTTTCACTGCGAGTTGATGATTCGGACGGGCGCGGTATCATAGCAATGTCGACAACGGCAGACACGATGACTGACGTCGCCGATGCTGATCACGCTGGTGACGATGATGGCGCTCACGGGTTGGCGATGCATGCGTTAGACATCTTTCAACATGCGCGCGCTGCCGGCGCGCGCGACTGGCCCGCGTGGTACAGTTTGAAAAGGGTCGTGCCTCCCCAGAGCGCGCGCAAGGGCGCCCGAATGATTTCGACATGCGCACGCGGGAGGTTGCTTGGTCGCATGTGTTGGACGTAATGAATAACGTATGGTTGTTTGCTGATTTCGAAGGAGCGCGCGCGCAGATTGTTTTGAAGATTCATGGTGCGAGACCGTTTGTGTGTTTTGTTTTATTGTTCGGGGAATGTTGCAATGTATGTTTGGAAACTGCTGATTTTCAAGGAACAAGTGCGCGCGCATAGTATGATTTGAAAGGGATGGGGGGGGGGTCGATGACCAGACTGCCTGACGCGGTCCGAAATGAAACCCAGGATGGGCGAGAGCGCAGAATCATATACGAACGCATTGCGAAAACGCGCGCCGCGAAGTCGAGCGGGGGGGGGGCGGGCGCAGAGGGGCAAGTGGGTTTTATTTTCAAAAGAACGAAATCATAAATAGTTGTGGTTTGCAGTGGGCCGTCGACTCCATTGCTCGCGCAATCATCCCGCGCGCCCGCCCGCGACTTGGATAGCGAAACCCATGCGGGGGCGACTGCAATGACTCTGCGGCTCTGGCTGGCGCGTCGCCGCGGCCGCGATGGCGCGCGCAGGCTCGCGCGCGGAGCGGCCTGTTAGTCTGGCGCGACGGTCCCCGCCGCTTTGGCGCTGACGGTTGGGGAGTTCCCGGCGCGTCTCGCAGGCCGCGCTGGCGCGTGGGCGCATCAGTGCGAGTCGGTGACACGGGCGGGCGCGGAATCATGGCGACGTCGACAACGGTGGACTCGATGATGATAATAACGATGCTGGCGACGCTGATGACAATGATGTCAGCGGGGGCAACGACGGCGCCGATGCTGATCGCGCCGATGGCGACGATGGTGCCCCCGCGTCGGCGATAAGAGGTTTCGGGTGGATTTCGACGCGCGCGCGCGGCCGACGCAAGCAAGTGGCCCGCTTGGCATTAGCTGACAGGGGTCGTGCCTCCCCCGCACGCGCGCGAGGGCGTTCGAATGATTCCAGTTCGTGCGCGAGAAGCCTGCTTGGTCGCAGTGGATGACAATGTTGAAACGCGCCTGGTTCCCCTGATATTTCGAAAGAACGCGCGCACAGACTGTGTTTAGAAAATTCCTGCCGCGCACCCATGTGTGCGTTTCCATGTATTCAGGGCACCCAACCTTGACATCCTTGCGAAGCCTATGTTTTTTTTTATTTCGGCGTGCGCGAGAGACGACGCGCGCGCGTGCACTTTGTTGCTTGTTTTGCGTAGGATTATGGGACACGAGCGATATTTGATACACGAGTGTGCGGGCATAGGATTATTTGATCGTGAGGAGGCGCGGGGTCGATAACCAGACTACGCGGGGCGGTGCAAATTGCATCTGGGGCGGGCGAGCGCGCGCAATGATGCACGGTAAAACATATGCGACGGGGCGACCAGCTAACACCTGGGGGGGCGGTGGTAGATCATGGTTCTTGGTTAGATAGGAGAACCAAGCGATGCTGACTAGTGAGTTGTCAATTCCATGGCTGGCGCAATCATTCCGCGCGCCCACCCGCAACTTGGTTTGCAAAACCGATGGGGCGGCAATTTGGATGCATGCCTGGCGCTGGCCGGCGCATCGCCGCGGCCGCGCTCGCGCGCGGGGGCTCGCGCGCAGAGCGGCCTGCTAGGCTGGCGCGACCGACGCGGTCGCGGCGGCGCTGGCCGCCGGGCGCGTTCCCAGCGCGTCTCGCAAACCACGCCGGTTCGAGGGGACATCAGCACGAGTCGTCGATTCGGGTGGGCGCGGCAACGTCGGCAGAGGCAGACGCGATGATGACTGCAGCGACGGTAGTGACGACGACGACGACGACGACGACGACGACGACGACGACGACGACGACGACGACGACGCCGGCAGGGCAAATAACGGCGCCGACGCTGATCGCGCCGATGACGATCGCGGCGCCCACGCGTCGGCGGTGGAGGTTTTGGACACGTGCGTGCGGCCGACCAGCTCGAGCGGCCCGCGCCGCGATCTTCGACGGGGATCGCGCCCCCCCTCCCCCCTCACCACACGCACAAGCAAGCGCGCAAGAGCGTCCGCATGATTCTGGCGCGCGCGCGAGAGAGGCCTGCCTGGTCGCATTTAGTGACAACGTTGAAACTTCAAAATGGTTTGGCAAGACGTCGCAACAGCGCGCCCGCCGATGTGTTTGTGCTGCGAAGCCATGTGTTTCGGAACACTCGATTTTGACATCCGCGCGATACTCTCGGTGTTCGAAGAATTTCGGCACGCGGGCGCGACGACGCTCGCGCGTGCTTTCATTTTTTTGGGGGGGCCGGGGACTTTCGACAATGGCCGATGTTTGATAGACGATTGCGCGCATAGTATGTTTTGCAGAAGATGGTGGGGGGCGAGCCCAGCCTGGCCAGGGTGGTATGGTTTCATTTTTACAACGAACGACGGGGCATAATCACACGTAACTTGCCCATCCCCAGGGGGTAGGGGCTAAGTCCGGCTTCGGGGCGATAGTGGATCCTCGTTCGGCTTTTGGAAAAAAACTGGATCTATGTTGGGCAAGCTGCGTGGGGCAGTCTATGCGGTGCGCTGTGTGTTGTGCTATCTTTTTTGCGCAACTTATGTGGCGCAACCCATGTGGCGCAATCTATCGGCGCAATCTGCGCGGCGAAATTCACCCTGAGCGCGGCCGCCGCGACGCTGGCCAGCGCGTCGCGGCGGCCGCGCTCGCGCGCGCAGGCTCGCGCGCAGAGCGGCCAGCCAGTCTGGCGCGACCGACGGCGCCTCGGCGCGGTGGCGCTGGCCGCAGGGGGCAACCGAGCGCGTCTCGCAGGCCGCGCTGACGCGCGAGCACTTCAGTGCGCGTTGGTGGTTAGGGCGGGCGCGGCATCATAGCGACGTCGACAACGACGGACGCGGTGATGATTGCGGCGACGCCGGTGGCAATGGCGACAACGACGACAGCGAGGCCTGCGACGGCGCCGACGCTGATCAAGCCGATGACAACGATGGCGCCCACGCGTCGGCGATGACGATTTTGCGAGGATTTCAGCACGCGCGCGCGCGGCCGACGGGCGCGAGTGGCCCGCGTGGCGTTATTGGCCAGGGATCGCGCGCCGCTCCCCAGAACTCCCGCCCCCGCACACGCGCGCGTCAGCAAGCGCGCAAGGGCGTTCGAATGCTGACGACATGCGTGCGAGGAACAGGAGGAGGAGGAGGAGGAGGAAGAGGAGGAGGAGGAGGAGGAGGAGGAGGAGGAGGAGGAGCAGCAGGAAAAAGAGGAGGAGGAGGAGGAGGAGGAGGAGGAGGAGGAGAAGGAGGAGGCGGAGGGGGAGGGGAGGAGGAGGCGGAGGAGGAAGAGGAGGAGGAGGAGGAGGAGGAGGGCTCAGACCTCCCGCCGGGGATGTCCAGACCTCCCGTGGGGGCGCCCACCCAGTCCAAGGATTCGGGGCTCCGGGGCGCCGGGCCCAGCCGGCACCCTCGGAGTGCATGGCAGGGGCGAGCACCCCTGGCCGCCGCGCCGGGGGATGTCCCGCGGCGAGGCCAGGGCCCTCCCACTGCCGCTTCGCTCCGCGGCCCCGCTGGCTCGAGCTGGTCCTCGCGCCAGGCCTCGGAGGTGCAGCCGGCCGAGCTCACAGGCTCAAGCCGCAGAGAGGAGTGCCGCCGCGATGGGGAAAAGCAGGAGGTTCGCCAAGAAGGGAGAGGATCGGACGGGGCCAAGACGAGGATGGAGCCGTTCCAGAGCGCCCCAGAGCGCTCCCAGAGCGTTCCAGAAGGCTCTGGGAAGGCCGCGGCGCCCGAGACATCCTCTCGATTTCTCCCCACCCGATGTCATCCTCGTCTTGGCTTCGTCTGGGAGGAGGTCCGGCACTTCAAGCTGGTCGCGCGGTCGCAGAAGGATCGGGTGTTGATAGAAGTGCCCCTGGCCCAGGGTGCCCCCAGGATTTCCAAGGCAGCCCCCACGACCTCCAGAGCGCCTCACACGAGGCCCAGAGGGCCCCAGGGGCGCCGAGATCGAGGGAAAAGCTGGGGGCACCTTGGGCCAGGGGCGCCCTTAGCAACCCCCGGGAGGACGCCAACGCGGACGACCCCGGTGCCTCTCCGCTCGTGCTCGAGCCCTTCGCCAGGCGTCCGTCGTCGTCGTCGCCGTCGCCGACGCCGTCGCCGCCGCTTCCGCCGCCGCCGCCGCCGCTGCCGTCGTCGTCGTCGCCGCCGTCGTCGTCGTTGTCGTCGTCGTCGTTTCCAGGCCGTCGTCGTCGTCGCCGCCGCCGTCGCCGTCGTCGTCGTCGTCGCCGTCGTCGTCGTTGTTGTCGTCGTCGTCGTTTCCAGGCCGGGGGACCCGAGGCGGACGGGCCTCGGCGAGGAGGCGCTGTGCAGCATCCCGGCCAGCCTGCAGGCCCTGGGCCCCGAGGTCTTCGGCCTCGGCCAGCGGGCGGGCGAGGGCGAGAGCAGCGGCGAGGGCGAGTCGGGCGAGGATGGGTCGCGCAGAGGGGGCACACATTGTCAGAGACCCGAATCATCAGGGGTAACTCGGGTCAGGGCTAACTCGGGCTCTTTTTTCGGGAATCCGAACCCGAGTTGCCCCGGGCCCGAGTTACCCCGGATAACTCGGGCGTCCAGAGCCCCAAATCATCAGGGATAATTCGGGTCAGGGCTAACTCGGGTTCGTTTTTCGGGAATCCAAACCCGAGTTACCCCGGGCCCGAGTTACCCCGGATAACTCGGGCGCCCAACATTGGAAGGGACAAGTTTTCGTCAGGCCTGCGCAGTGTCCACAAGAGCAAAAGCGCAGCTGAGCGCAGGAGGGCGTGCAGGCACCTACGAAGTTTTCGGACATGCAGGAGCAAGGTGCGGACGGCGCTGCAAAGCCGCAGGGGAGCAGAGCATTGACAGCGCGAGCACCAAATCTGCAAGTGGCCGGGGAGCCCCCGCGCCATGCCCACGAGGGTTGCTCCACCCCGGCGGGTGTGGGCAGGGTAACTACCCACATGTTCTTCGCGTCTGCTGGATGCTGTTGTGCATCTTCGGGGAGGGCACCCTTCGTGATCTTGTTGCTCGGGGTGTGTTGGCTGGCAGACGGTCTCACGTTCTTGGAGGGTGGTCTTCCGTCCGCCACGCGCTGGGGGCAGGGGGAGGGGGCAAGGCCTCTTCGAAGCACCCCTGCTTCTTAGAAGGCGCGGGCCCCTGCCTGCAGGTGCAGGGCTGGCGCCTTCTATCAGGAGGAAAAAAACACACAGACACAATTAATCGTCGATTTCCCAGAAAATATGGGAAAATATGGGAAGTGGTGGGGAAGACAAAAACCCAGAAAATATATGAAAATATGGGGAATCTTTTTATTTGTGTGTATTTATTTGTGTGTCCCAGTTTCCCTTCATTCTAAGCAAGAAGCGGCGACGAGGGCGAGTCGGGCGAGGATCGGCCACGCGCACACAGGGGGGGGGGCAGGCCTCGCTCGGGCATGTCCCCCTCAGTCGGGGTATTCAAGAGGAAGCCAAACATAGTCGGGGGAGGATGTTTCGACTATGTTTGATGCTGGTTGTGCATGCGTTTATGATTTTCATTTTTCTCTCAAGATCCGCCCGTAGGAGGACAGGGGAGGGGGGAAGCCCCCTAGAAGGGGGGGGAGGGAAGGGGGAGGGGGGAAGCCCCTTAGAAGCACCCCCGCTTCCTGGAAGGCGCGGGCCCCTTTCTGTAGATGTAGGGCTGGCGCCCTCTAAGAAGCAGCCCGCTTCTCAGAAGCCTTCCCCCCTCCCACTTTTCCTTATAGATAACTCTTCCCCCTCGCACACCAGACTTATCTTTAGGGCGGGCCGGGCGTTTCGCCTGACACTTCCTCACCGCTGATGACCCTGAAGCTCAATCATTGGCAACAGCTTCACAGATGGGGGGCGGGTGGTTTGCAAAATGTTGCAAGAGCTTCACAGGTTGAGGGCGGTTCCTTTTCAAAGTGTGGCTCTCGCTTCAGCGCTGCGCCTTTTCGCTGCAAGAGCTTCACGGATTAAGGGCGGTTCCTTTTCAAAGTGTGGCTCACGCCTTAGCGCCGCGTACATTGTTGTTCAAAAATCGCAAGAGTTTCACGGGTTCCCAGGGTCAACGTACCGGACCCAGCGTTTTGGAAAGATTCCGGATTATGAGGGCGCAACAGTTGCGCTGGTTACAGGAATTGCGTTCTGGCACGATTCAGGATCGTCAAGACTCAACAGTCAGGTTCATCTGTGGCGTTGGAGTCCCGAGAATAATGTGTTGGCATGCTTCAGGGTCTTCAACCGGTTTTGTTGGAGCCTATGACGAGGGAGCTTGGAAAGAGCGTTTCTTCCAACATCGTTGATGACTCTTGGCTTTACACTGGTCCTCCTCCTCCCCCTCCTGCTCCTCCGCCTCCTCCTCCTCCTCATCATCATCCTCCCCCCTTGTGCGCACCGCCAAAAGGACGACGAGGGCGCGGAGAGGCAGGACGTGCTCGCGGACATGGACGGGGACTGCTACTTCCCCAGGTTGGCCCAAGCACAAAAACGGCACCCCCCTACCTGCGGCCTTCCATGTTGCGCTGCGGCCCATCGGGGGCCGTAGCGCATAACCCACGCAAAGAAGCCCACGTCACATCTCCTGGTACTGTCGACCCGCATGGTAAGCATAGGCAACATTCCCAAGGGTACCCTTGCATCCTTGCCTCCTCGGTCCATCCTTGGCCACGTTCGTTGGCCGCGTCCCGCTCGAGAAGCCTCCAAATGGGCGCCCAAGGCCCTTGCATCCTTACCGCGCATCCTTATGATACGGGCCGACTGTATACGCTAAGGCTCTCGGGGCCGTAGGTGGGGTGGTGTCGTTTGTTTTCCGGTCCGCCAGGGACGGTTATCCCGGGTGCCTGCGGCGAGTTCCGCCCTCCGTGCCAGCGCAGCACTCTCGCGAGGCGGCCCCTGGAGGGCCGTCCAGCAAACCGCAGCACGTGGCGCAGCTCGTCCGTAGGCTCCAGGGGGGTCGTGAACGCGTAGCGCGCGTTCCCGCAGGCTAGGGAAGGCGGCGACGTGCTTGTGCACGAATCATGTGAGGGGTGTGCCGTAGTGGGCGCGGGGCGGTGTGGAGGGCGTTTCTTTATTGTTTGGGGCCGAATGGGCATGATAGCCCCCGGCCCCCCCTCCCCTCCCTCATAACGTAACGCCCTTCCCCCCCCCCAGTGCGCTCCGGGCACTGCCGCCGTGCGCACGGCGGGGGGGAGACGTTACATTATCCCCCCCCCCTGGCCCCTCCCCCCGCTCCCTACAATGCCCACTATCGCAACAAAAAAAAACAAAAAAAAGGCGCTCGTACGCCCACGCCCACGGAGGGCGCAGGGAGAGCCTCTTGCTGGGGCAGGGCGCCCGTGAGTACCGAGCGGGGCGCGGGGCAGCAGGCGCGCCCGCACACTGAGGCTGCAGGCGGAGCTCCATCTGGCGACACGAGGCGTATGAGTGCTAGGCCCAGATCGGCGCGAACGTGCCCATCCACGGGGCCATAGATCATAGATGGAGGAGGAGGAGGAGGAGGAGGAGGAGGAGGAGGAGGAGGAGGAGGAAGGAACTCCCTGTGGGGGCACAGGGCGTGCGAGGCGTGCGCCGAAATTGGGACCCGGCACGAGGAGAGCGCAGGGGCAGGGAGACGTGGAGGAGGGGGATGGAGGGGGAAGTTGGAAGAGGGGAGGGGGGATGGAGGAGAGGGAAGCGGGAAGAGGGAAGTGGGGAGAAGGGAGGGGGGAAAGGGGGAAAACGAGAGGATGGGGAGAGGGGAGGGGAGAGGGGGATGGAGAGGGAAGCGAGAAGAGGGAAGTGGGACGGGAGGAGGGCAACGGGGAGGGAGGGGGTGGGGCGCGGCGCTAGCAGTCAAAACGAAGACCCGTATTAGCACAGGATTTGGAAAAGTCATGTGTGCCAGATTGCAGCTCATTGGCTCCCGCGGCCTCCCGCGCCCTCCATCCAGCGCGTCAGCGCAGATCCCGCGCGGGAGCTCACAACGTCTAGGCTGGGCGGGATTGTGCGCACTCCAGTAGCTGAAGCTGTCGAGTGCTGCCTCCCGCGCCCCTGGCCCCAATATGGGGCCGCCCATCCGCTCCAGAGGACACTGGCGCCCCCAGTAGCAGAGGACGCCGTGCAGGAAAACGAGGGCGAGGAGAGTGAGGCGCAAGGGGGGCGCAAATAGCACGAGGGAGAAAATAAGGCAGAGGAGGAGAAATAATATGATGCGAAGGCGGAGGCAGCGGACGTGGAGGATGAGAAACAAGTGTTGTCCTCCTCACTTTCAGACGCCTACCTCTTGTCCTTGACCGAGGCCGCGGTTTCCAGCGGCACAGGCAGCACCATCAGAATGTGTGAACACGCCAGTGCGGCTTGATGGCTGGGCGCCGCAGTATATACGAGCACAACTGCGCCTATGAACACCACAGAGCCTGTGAACACCACCGCCCCTACGGACACCAGGCCGTGTGAGCACCGCTCCCACACAAACCTGCCTCACCAGCCCACTTGGCCCGCACGAGCAACAAGGTCAAATTATCTTGGGGACGCGGAAGTCATATCTGTTATCGCGGCACCCCTTAGAAACACTCAGCGTCGGAGTGCTTTGGGGTTGCCTAGCGGGCGCATTGGGGCCATCTTGAGCCCGCTTTAGGGTGGTGTTGAGCCGTTTTGCGACCAATGTTGGGGGAGGCACCGTGTTGGGGCCAACTTGGCCACGTCTGGCGGCCGTCTCCCAGAAAATGCGGGGCCACGTTGGGGTAGATTGCGGCTTCTTGGAGCGAAAGGTGGAGGCTGCTACCTTTAAGTAGACGCTTCGCGTAACCCCACCAGCCCATCCAGAAACGATGCCCAGGCGAGTTGCTGTGATCAGGGATGCGGGACAGCATGCAGCGCAAGAAAGGAAGCGGAATCCGTCACACCCCAAGAGGGGAAGGATGGAGGAGGAACCAGAGGAGGAGAAGGAGGAGGAGGAGGAGAACGAGGAGACAGCTTGGGGGCCTCGTGGGGCTCCCTGGGCGCCTCGTAGTGCTCTCTTGGGGTACTTTTGGGGGCGTTGGGAGCCAACTTGGGGCAATCTTGGGTGAGCTCGATCAAAGAAGGGGGGCTCTCATAGTAGGGTTCACAAGGATGCCAAAAATGAGCGCAGCACCTAAGTCAAGGCAATCATCCTTACCTTCTCGCCGAGGCCGCCTTGGACGCTCCAATCGGTCGCGGTACCCCCCGTCCAGGTCCAGGGAGGAGGGGGGGGAAGGGTAAACCCGAAAGGGTCCAACCCCAGCAAGTTGGACCAACTCCTGGCCAATTGGGCCAAATCCAGGCCAATTAGACCAAGTCCCAGCCGAATTCCGTGCTCTTCAGCGTTCTCTCGAGCTCTTGAGAGCGATCGAAAGAGCGCTCTTCAGAGGCCTCAAGAGCGCTCATAAGATTTCTGACCTCTTATTAAAGAGCACCCTAAAGAGCGATCGTTAGATTTTTGTTCGTGTTAAAAGTGTTCGTGTGACCTCTGACCTTGTGAGAACGCTCGCACGACCTCTTACGAGCGATCTTTAGACCGCTTAAGAGCGCTCTTCAGACCCTTACGTAGCGCTATGATGAAACCCCGACGAGTTTATGACGAGCTCCTGAGAAGATTATGGAAAACTTGCGAAGAGCTTCTGAAGAGCTTCTGACGAGCATTTGGCAAGCTTCTGAAGAGCCTCCTAAAAGCTTCTGAAGAGCTGCTGAAGAGCCTTTGGAAGGGCTCCTGACGAGCCGCTGACGAGCCCCTGATGAGGCTCTGAAGAGCTTTTGCGTGCCTGTAGAAGGCCCCTGAAGAGCTTCCAGAGAGCTTCTGAGGAGCATGTTGGAGGGTTTCCGAAGGGCCTCCGAAGGGCTCTTGAAGGGCCTCTTGAAGATTTTTGGAGGACCTTTGGAGAGAGTTTGCGGAGGGCCTCTGGAGAGAGCTTTTGGAGGGCATCTGGAGGGCTTGTGGAGGGCCTCAGCTCCTGGAGAGCCTCTGCAGGGCCACTGGGGGGCTTCTGCAGGGCCTCTGGAGGGCCTCTGCGGGGCCTATGGAGGGCCTCTGGAGAGCTTCTGGGGGCCTCTGAAGAGCCTCTTGAGTTTATGATGTATGTCAGAGTGAGGGGGCTGAACCGAACGGTCATTCACTGTCCCTGGGTGCGTGGCTGAAGTGGAATTCTGCGATGTGGATTATTGTTGTTGTTGTTGTTGGTGGTGTTGGCGTTGGTGTTGGTCTTGTTTGTTGTTTGTTGGTTGTTGTTTGTTGTTTGTTGTTTGTTGTTGTCGTCGTCCCACCCGCGACCCGCCCCGCGACCCACCCCGCGACCCACCCGCGACCCACCCCGCGACCCGCCCGCGACCCACCCGCGACCCACCCGCGACCCACCCCGCGACCCGCCCGCGACCCACCCCGAGACCCTCCCGGCGACCCACCCGCGAACCACCGGCGACCCACCCACGATCCACCCGCGACCCACCCCGCGACCCACCCGCGACCATCCCGCCACCCACCCGCGACCCACCGCGACCCACCCACGACCCACCCGCGACCCACCCCGCGACCCACCCAAAATTCTCGGCGCTTGCGGCGGGTTTCTTCTGCATTCGTTCCAGGTGGAGAACCTGCGACCCACCCGCGACCCAAACCGCGTTCAGTGTACAAATCAAAATTTGCGGCGCCTGCGGCGGGCTGTTTTTGGACCCACCCGCGACCCAAACTACGTTCACTGAACAAGCCAAAACTTCGGCGCCTGCGGCGGGTTTCTGTTGCATCGGCGACCCACCCGCGAACCACCCCACGGCCCACCCCGAGACCCACCCGCGACCCACCCCGCGACCCTCCCGCGACCCACCCGCGACCCACCGCGACCCAGCCGCGACCCACCCGCGACCCACCCCGCGACCCACCCAAAATTTTCGGCGCCTGCGGCGGGCTTCTTTTGCATTCGTTCCAGGTAGAGAACCTGCGACCCAAACCGCGTTCAGTGTACAAGTCAAAATTTTCGGCGCCTGCGGCGGACTGTTTTTGAACTCCTCTTCCAGGTGGAGGCGAAGAGCCCGCGACCCACCCGCGACCCAAACTACGCTCACTGAACAAAGCAAAACTTCGGCGCCTGCGTCGGGTTTTGCATTCGTTCCAGGTGGAGAACCCGCGACCCAAACCGCATTCAGTGTACAAATTAAAATTTTTGGCGCCTGCGGCGGGCTGTTGTTGAATTCCTTCCAGGTGGAGGTGGAGAGCCCGCGACCCACCCGCGACCCAAATTACGTTCACTGAACAAGCCAAAATTTGGCGCCTGCGGCGGGATGTTTTTGCATTCGTTCCGGGCGGGGTGGCCCACCAGCATTCCCCCCCGCGCTGAACTTGTCTGAACACGCAAATCGGCGCCTGCGGCGGGCTTGCTCGCATTGGTTTGGGAAAGCGCCCTCGTGCCATTCCCCCGATCCGGCCCACGTTGACTCTACAACAGCACATCGGCGCCTGCGGCGGGGCTGTGTCTGAACAC